TAGAAGGCAAATGCCATGTGAACACTGAATGGGCCAGATGGGCCTGATGTAAGTTTCAGGTCACACAAACCCCTCTTTAAAGCCTCAGAAACTACAGATTCTAGCACTTCCTGAATTATTTTTGTGCCACCAGAAGAGGGCACTCTCAGTCACAGAAATACCATGAAGATGGCAAGCTACAGACAGGCCAATGTATACTGGACATGACAGTGCTACAAAAAGCTACTTATCTTATGATTTTAAAAATTAGAATTTTCTATCTCCCCATCTTTAGAAAATGAAAAATCTCCACAAAATTAAAAATAGAAACCCATATAAAAAGGGGCACATATGAACCTCTCAACAAAGGTTGAAAATAATGGTTTTTTTTTTTTTTTTTTTAGACAGTCTCCCTCTGTCACCTGAGCTAGAATGCCATGGTCTTAATCTAGCTGAAAGCAACCTCAAACTCCTGGGCACAAGTAATCCTCCTACCTCAGCCTCCCAGACAACTGAGACGACAAGCACCCGCCACAACACCCACCTCAGTTTTTTCTATTTTTAGTAGGGACAGGGTCTCACTTTGTTCAGATGGGTCTTGAACTCCTGAGCTGAAGCAATCCTCCCATCCTGGCCTCCCAGTGTGCTAAGATTACAGGTGTCAACTGTGGAGCTCGGGCCCAAAAATGTTTAAGGAACAGAATGAGGAAAGAGATCAAAGGCAATAAATTCTCTGTGGGTTATTATGAGAAGAAAGTGAGATCTGTATGAGGAAAATTGTCAACTATACCACTATAAAGCATCTGGAGTTCTTCCAAAGAAATAAGTAAATGCAGCAATTAGAGCAGATTAATACTCTCTGTCCATCTGCGTTCTAAAAAAATGAGGTGCCAAATTAGAAGGAACAATACGTGTACAACCTTTCCCATTTTTCCTGCCGACAGCAGGATGACAAGTTTGCCAAAGTAAGCCGTCGGGGGAGATACAGTAATGCCTAAGATGCTCTTCTGCGTTTGTATCCCCAACAGGAAGCACAGACAAATAGACATCGTAAGCACTTATGCAAGGAAACAGATAAGAAACCAGCACCCTCACATTTCATCCTGCTATGAGTGCTGTTGCTACTTGCTTTTCACTCATGTTTAAGAAGATGGGCTCCACATCAGGAATAATGCGGCACGTGCAGCCAAACGCCTCAAGTACAAAAGCCAGAAGTTACTAGTCACGCTCCCACTTCATCACCAGTCCCTGTCCGCTCACTATATCCTGAGGGTTTTCCCTAAGAGAATTGCATATCCATGCCTTTCTTTTCATTTTACTCAGCAACTTCCAAGTGATCCCCCCCAACTTGTAGCTTATCTCACCAAATCCTTCTGCTTACCACCATCAGCTTAGCCATCCTTAAACACTCACCAACTCAGAAACTGGAAGTAACTACCAACTTCCCCTGGCCACAAAATCCTTCTTCCTGGCTCGCACATGTCCTTCTAATCTGATCTCCCTGACCCAGAGCACTTCCCACAACTCCCCACCAGGCACTGATTGCTGCTGCTCCTACCCAGTGTTTCCTGCCTTGCTCTGAGCCTTCTGCCCTCCCTGCCTTTGTTCACGTGGTTTCCCTGTAAGGTCCTCCTCTCTGCCCCCCATCCACCGCTCTTTCTCATTTGTTAAGTGCAGAAGACAGTGCTAATCATATTCGTTTAATTTTATTTTTCATTTGTATACATAATAGCCGTATGCACGTATATTTGTAAGGTAGCTAATCATATTCTTCGATTCATGGCTCAATATCATAACTGATCCCTGGAATGTTCTTTTATCCCAACATAATGGAAAAGAAATTATTAAAGAAACAGAACATTTCCAAGACCTGAGGGACATACACATATACATAGAAAGGATTCACTGTGCACCTGGTTCCATGAAGAAAAGGAAGCCAGTAACAAACCAACCCAAAATACTCTTTAAATTTTTCAGCAAATCAAGGACAGGGAAAATGACCCTAAGAGCTTCTGGTGATAGAGGGAAAGGGGGCACCAAAGAGTAAAAATATGTTAGCAGCTCTATTAATTTAGTGCTGAATACTTTATTTATTTATTTATTTATTTTTGAGACAGAGTCTCACTTTGTCACCCTTGGTAGAGTGCCGTGACATCATGGCTCACAGCAACCTCAAAACTCTTGAGCTCAAGCTATTCTCTTGCCTCAGCCTCTCAAGTAGATGGGACTATAGGCGCCCACCTACAACA